CGGATGAAGAGTCTTGATGTGTCGTTAAATGTCGTTGTAGTCTTGAGTTTCTTGTATTCTTGGTCCTTTGTCTTTGGTTCCGAGCCTCAAGGGAGTAGTTGAAATGAAGGTCGAGCTCCCTAGCTTAGTGTTGATTAAGTTATGATCTTTGGCCGAGCCCCCGAGCATATATCCGTGTTGTTTCGTTCGGGAAGAACTCGGATGCGAGGTCTTAAGCGTATTCTTTGATAGTCTCTTTGTTGTCGGATGTAGTTGTATGGTGGTGGTTGAGTGTAAACGCCTTTTGTTCACGGGTTGTCTTTGTCTTTGGTATATTCTTCCGAATATGCCCGTCTTCGAATAATTTATTTCTCTCTACTTTGAGTCATCCATTATTGAGTCCTATCTTTTCTTTGTGTCCTTTGTTAGGCTTATTTCGTTGGTACTCCTAGTCCATGTGCGCCGCTCCTTTGGTCTATAAATCCATCCCGAGTGCTTGTTTTCATCTATCTTCCGATTGTCCTCTTTGGTGTTCTCCTTACTATCTTTTCTTGTGTATCGATCATTGAAAGTGTAGCGAGTTTCGATGGTGTGTCTCCCGTTAGGGTGCAATGGGCAACGTATGTTTTCAATGTCATCATATCTTACGGGTTTGGAAAACTTTTTTGATTTGTCGGCCATTGCCACGGTATTGTCTCGGTCTACGTTTTCTTTCTTGATGTACGCTATTTCGATGATTTTGCTGTCCGGGTTGTCTGGTTGCTTCTATCCAGGAAACCTTTCTCGCGTTTTTTCTTCTGCAGTAATCATTTTTCTCTTGTTAAATTCGAACTCTTCATTGTTTCTCGGATTTTCTTTGTAGAAGTCTTGAAATTGCCACCTAGCCATGATTAGTGAGAGAGCTTCAATTACCTCTCGTTTGGTGATGTCATGCACTTGAGCCCGCAGTTCGCCGAATCGTCGATAGTAATTTTTGAGACTTTCGTCTCCCTTTTGCTTGAGTCCTTTCAGTTCTGCATGAGTGATCGGGTGTGTGATGATACCCGCAAAATTTTCACAGAAAGCTCTTTGCAAGTCTTCCCAAGTTCTGATCGACCCTAGGTTCAATTTGTCGAACCATTGGAGGGGCATCGCTTCCAGTGCCATGGGAAAGAACAATGTTTTGATATCATCATCTCCTCCGGCTAGTTCAATTGATTGTGAATATATTCTGAGCCATTGTCTTGGTTCGGTTTTGCCATCATACTTGGAGTGGTTAGACGGTTTAAATTTGTGAGGTAATTGTACTGATGTCAACCTGTTTGCAAAACAGGGGAATCTGTCGTGCGTTCCGGCTTCTTTGAATTCGGATTCGGCTCCTTCTTCTGGCCAAGTGTTGTTTTGATGGGAATAAGTCTGCGAGGCTGTCTGGGTAGGCACCCTACTCCTGGTCTTCCTTGGTTGTTCAAATTGGTGGCCCTGACTATGTTCCTTCCTACTTTCTCCGTTATGGCTTCCACTTGGCCCAAGTCTTTCAAAAGCGGACTTCCTTTGATTTTGATCTTCTTGCCTACGGGTTGTTGATCTGACGGGTAGTCTCGATCGGGCTCTCTCTTCATGCGTTCTTGGGATCGTCGACCGGAGCAAATCCTGGAGCTGTTCGTTCTTCTCTCCGTAATATGAAGTTGCCCTGAGTTCTTCTAATGCTTCTCGAATCTTATCGTAAGGCGTATTCACCGTGCATCTTTCTTCGGCTTCTTGTTGTGATTTTCTTTTATCGTATTGACCAACTCGACTCAGATCTCGGTCCGAGCTTCTCTGTTGCGCTAGCAGGTGGTGTTGGCGCCCTTGTTTTAACTTGTTTTTCCTTTCTCTAGCTTTGTCTCGACTCTCGGTTTCTCCATCGTAGCCCTAGGCAAAGGGTGATATGTTGGACTCGATTCATCGATGACGACATCGGGTGCTTCTCGGGGATTTAATGGTGACCGAGGGCGCCGAACCATGAGCACCTCCCGTGCGTGAGCCGCTTTCGTTATTGGTGTTAGTTTTCATCTTTGTCGGAGTTCTTGATGACTTGATGAGGCGCCTCGATGTCGTAGATCGAGTCTCCTTCTTGGTAAGGTAGAATAGCTTTTGTTGTTGTGCCAACTAGTTGGGTTCCGCTATCTTCGAGAGCGGAACACGGCGATGGATGATCTGATCTTGCGATGTTATCGTTAGCACGAGACCCTCCTGAGCTCCTGTCAGTGGTATCCCAAGCATTGGATTGAAAGACCTTTCGAATTGTCCCTGATAGGATTTTGTCGTGTTGTCGAGCCCAAATGAAAAAGAACTCGACCTTTTGAAAGAACTCTGAGGATAATCCAGAGTTATTTTGGGTTGTGCTCTGGAATCCTGCCAAAAAAGAACTCGGTTTCTTGAAAGCACTCGAATAAGACTTCATCTCGGACACGGAGCTTGAATTCGAGTCGGATGCGCGTAGTCGTGAAATCTTATTCGAATCGGGTATTATGAGCTGCGTGGATCTTCTGGTGAGCTGATCCGTCGTAGTTGTCGAAATAGGAAATTCTTCACGATGATCCGAATCTTTGAGGATGTGGCTTTGAAGCCTGCCGTAGTTGTCCGCCTCGCAGATCCATGAGCCGAAGATGAAAGTTAATCCCGTTGGGAAGATCATGTTATCGAGGTCCATCGAGCTCTCGGATGCAAAGTCGCCGAAAGCCCCTACCTGGCGCGCCAGCTGTCGATGTTTCACCATCGATAGCCTGCCACGGGGGTACCTGGGGCAGTATGTTCGGGCTTCGGCGTATGCTGAACTCGATGGTAAACGCAAGAGACAGTCGATTTATCCTGGTTCAGACCATCGATCGTAGATCGAGTAACGACCCTACGTCCAGTCGACGTTGGCCTTTGCGTTGGAGGCTATCGATGGTGAAACATCGACAATCAGTCAACAATAATAATTCACGATCCGGCCACGATCCTCCAGCCCAGCCGAACAGGCTGAGATTCTCGCTAGATTCTGTAAACCTGTCCGTATGGGAATTTGCGGTGCATGACAGCGGAATTGATCAATTCGTCGCTATTACTAGTGGTAGTTTATAGTCAACACCCAGTACTCTCATGTTATTACGAGCAATGGTCCATTCCTGTACCCTCATGCCGTTGGAATTTTTTTAATAAATCATACATAATAGTAGACAAACATACGTTCATATACATGTATATACACCCACCGTTATGAATATATATGTGCACACAGCTTATTCATATGAGCATGTCCAAATAACTTAAGTCGGCAGAATCTAAAATTGACGAGTCACCACGGTCGTCATCGACTAGGTCCTATTCACTTAATTTGGTAAGCGTATTGAAAGAAAGTATTATTGGCGGATTTGTTGTGAGAGAAAAATATTGCTCTGACTAATAAAAACTAAAAAGTACAGATTATAAAACAAACGAACAGAGCCCAGAACATTGAGTACAGTTGGATCGAATTAAGTCCCTAGAGCAAATCGTAAAGTTGTGACAACCTAACGAGTGATAATGACTCGTACTAGGAATACTATTAGATTAGCTCATCTGACCTGGAGAACATGCTTGGCCTCTCTTACCTTTTGGGTTCCAGCATTTTTATACCAGTATTAAACATCATCCCATCTGAATAATAAACTGAATTTGATGCTGGCCAGTCGGCCCGGCACCCACTGCTGCTAATAGTAGAACGGATTTTTCTAGGCAGGAAGAGGCCTGGCTTTGGGGCACCTCATCATGGATGAGGATGACAGACAGAGACTACACTACTTTGAGGCAGGGGCAGGATCATGGATGCATCATGTATGCCAGACCATGAGACACGGACCCCTGTGGGCTGTGGGCTGCACTACATTAAATTCTAGAGCTACTTGCTCTGACCAAGAAAACATGAAATTATGAGTCACGTGCCAAACAAAGCAGTTCATATTTAACCAATTTTTTAATGAATAGTATTTGAACTTAGGACTTTAAATTAATTTATTATGAAACTATATTTTGTAATTAATTTAATAATATTTATTTAATATCATAAATATTTATAGTTTTTTATTTATAATTGGTCAAACTTAATGTACTAAAATAGAACACTGTACTAGAATTGCATGTTTTGTTAGATGGGTAGTACATAATAACTAAATTTTGTTTAATTGTTGTTGGTTTTGGTCGGTACAAACCAAAAAAGTAAAATGGTTTTTCTCTCACAAAAACCAAAGACCAACCAAAGGTCAAACCAAAGACCAAGACCAACCAAATGAACACGCTCTAAATTAGTAGACCAGCAATGGTATCTAACGCATGCCACGTGTACAGATCAAATATTTCTACTGTGTGACTGCAGCTTGAAGATGACTCCTGCCTTTTTTTTCAGAAAAAAAAGATGACTGCTGGTAAACAGGTCAACGGTCAACCTACAAAGACTCTGGCTTTCAGCAGCTGAGCACAGTTTGCAAACCAAGCCGTCGTCGTCTAGCTTTAACCGTGGCGTTAACCCTGCAGCTGAGAGCGCCGTCAGCATGATGGCATCGGAGGAGTAAAGGCGACAGACAGGTGCGAGCCGTGCGGGACGGAGTGAGCAGTGAGCAGTGACCACCGCGCCAGATCAGACCACCACCCACCGCATTCAGGAGCAACAGCAACAGCAGCGAAGGAGGGAAGCGGGCAGCGAACGACGACGAAGCAGTGGCAGCAGCAGCAGCAGCAGCGAGAACCCGACGCCGTAATGGTCAAACACGACCCCTGCCTTCTCTTTCTTCCTCCCCTGCGCTTGCTTCAACTCCTCCTTCCTCGTCCTCTCTCTCCCTCTTTCTCTTTCTCTTCCCCGCAGTCTCGTCTCGTCTTCCTCCTCTCTTATTGGCCGCATCTTTGTCTCTCTCTTTCTCCTGTTGTTGAACGCGGCGCTTCTTGCTCCAAATCCAGGCGGCGCGGAGGGGGAAGGCGGCGCCCTGTGAGCCGTAACTGTAAAGGAGCCGCCTTTCGCAGCTGTTCCTGGGACCTTCTCCGACGAAATGGCCGTAAGTTCTTGCTCTCCCCCCAATTCGAGTGGCGGTTCCCGAGGTGGTGGGTCGGGTCTGGATCGGGTCAACTTGCTTGCAGCCTGCTCGGCAGGCCGTAAACGATCGTGGATTATTTACTGGTTTACGATCATATACGAGCAAGGTTGGCGGTGGGAGGAAACGGCAGCTTCGTCTTGGGCGCCGATCCTGCTGGGGCTTAAGCATGTGGGGCTTCTTGGAATTGCCTTCGGCTGGCAGCGCAGCTTCGTCGTTTCCCTCTCTGGCCTTGCGAAACCCGGTCGGGCGGTGCTAGTCTTGCCTAGGTTATCCTGTTTTTGCTTCGTGAAGGGGAGACAGATTGCATCTCCGCCAGAGCAATTTCTTGCTGCGGTCCTTCCCTGTCCCAAGAAATGTAGTACTAATCTGCAATCAAATTACTTGCTTTGTCTTTTTCCTCGGTCATCAAGATTCGGTTAGAATGTGTGGCTTTGTTGTGTCCTGAGTGTTATTACTATGAGTCTATTTTTACTAGTACTTTAAACCAATTCATCGCGAGTCTATGAGGATCAAAATTGTCTCGGTTTTACTATTGATCTTGTGCCCTCCATACTGATGTGGTAGATAATAGTTAAAGGGGTGCCATCTTTGTGAAATGTGGGGGTGTGATAGAGTCTATGCTCTGTTTCCCTATGTGTTTGGGATTTTCCTTATCTCAATCATGACGGCTCCCTGCAGCCTTGATGGATCAATAGATTCTCTTAGTATGGAACTATGGCAGTTTGTACTTCACCTAATATTGTACTAGGTGTTTTATCAATTTGACAGCCACTGTCTGATGTGGATTTATTTATTATACTGTGCCAGCATCAAGGAGTGCCTAAATTTGGAAGCTGGGAGGACGAGGGTGATCACCTTTACACGCAGTATTTCGAAAATGCTCGTAAAGGTAAATCTCCAAGTAGATCTGCTAGTCAGAATGACCACAGTGGAGATCCGGAAGCACTTTCCAAGGATTCGCCATCAGCTAAAGCTTCTCCCCTGAGGACTGGGTCAGATCCTGTGGTGCAAAAGCCCAAGGACGAAAGACGTGCCAACAGAGAAGACGATCTTCGTCGGCACGAGGCCCCTGCTCGAAGACCGTATGCTGAGTCAACAACTCATAAACATGGTGTTAATACCAGCTATGACAGTGCAGCAAGAAAAACTGGCATGGAGAGATCGCCTCTGCATCCTCACCACCAAGCTAGAGTTGTAAACAAAGGAGGGGTTTCATCTCCTTCATGGGAACGCAGGGGTTCATCCGAAGGACACCGTGGAACTGCGCCCACCACACCTGGAAGGTCTAAGATGAGACCAAGTGGCCGCGGAGATGAAACGGTATAATCTTAATGTCTTTTAAGTTTTTAAGTACAACATTATACGTAATGTGCTTATGATATATTGATATTTGTGTGTGAAGGGAACTGAAGCAATTAAGTTGGAACTGCGTTGGAAATTGTTTTATATGTATAATTTCTGAAGAGATGTACTGTTAATCTGTTATTCCTTGCACATACAGCCTGAGAGAGGATCAGCTGTGCCCAAGTTTGGAGAATGGGATGAGAAAGACCCGTCCACAGGTGAAGGTTTCACCGACATATTTAACAAAGTGAGGGAGGAGAAGCAGTCTGGCGATGCTCCTGTTATCACCAGTGACACAGGTTATAACCGCTCCAATCAAGGCCGCAAATACGAATCCTCAGTGAGTCCACTTCAGACTTATTGGCATGCTGCTGGTTTAAACTATTTCTTGATCTAATATTCAGGTTAAAGCATTTATTTGCATGTGCTTCTTATAGTTTTGTTTTTTTCTTGCATTTTGATGTCCTTCTGAAAACTGAAAATGGCTGCCAAATGATTTCAGAGCACTAACCATCATAGCACCAAGTAGCAGAATCACTTAATTCAACTGCTTTACGCACCATTACTGGTTTTAGCGTTCATTGCCCCATGCTTACTTCAACAATAGTTGAAAATTGACTAAAGTCCAGCAAAACATGGCGCAGACTACAGTTTCTAAACTGAAAAACAGCAATACTAAGTATATTGATAGCATTGTTACCTTTTGGCGCAGACTACCCATTGCTTTTTGTTGCTCTGTTTAGCTCCTAGTAATCACCCACTACAACACATCATTGTATTTCACAACTGACATGTGGCATTTGTTTGGTTTGTATCTAAGGGATCTACTTTGGCAACTGCTTTTGGAAATAACTTTCTAGAATTTGATTATGTTGAATTAAACACTATAATATGTAGAAAGAAACATTATATGACCTTGTTGAATTCACTGTTCTGCTGCTTCCTTGCAGGGTTGCTCATGCTTCAGTTGGTTCAGAAACTGATGCTTCCTTGCAGGGTTGCTGCTCATGCTTCAGTTGGTTCGGAAACTGATAGGTATCGTTAAAAGATTGGATGAACCAGTGCCGATTGTATCATTGTCACTCGAGTTAGTGCCCCCGTTGTGTTGTCCCTGTTGTAATACTTGCTGTCTGGTAGCAAGACGTGGCGCAGAACATGACTTTGAGAACTTGAGGTTCAGTAGTTTGAGCTGTTTTTGCAACAAGCGATTTGTCTCCATAGAATCCTGCAAATCGGCCTGATTGCTAGTAGTTTCTTCAGAACTAATATTTTTTTTTATCTCAGCCCAGAACTAATAACATATAGCCGTGCTCTTGTTTTCACTGGGTTGGTGACCTAAACGTTTTAAACTCGTTGCTCTTGTTTTTACACGTTCGTTTCAGAATTCGATGTTAAATTTACATATCCAAATATATTTAATAGGGAAAAGAAGCCTGAAAACAACATCCTCTCCCTATTACGGCCGGTAAACCACTGGGTGTTTGAAGCCTCGTATTAGTTGCTGGTCAAAAGAAAAAAAGTGGAATTTCTCAATTTAGCAGCCAAAACAGAATACTAGAATCAGTAAACTTGATCATTCGTCATCTGAAATTACACGTTCTGTTGTGCACAAAAGACTAACAAGAGGTAATACCAATGGGGACAGGGCTTAAGAACAAACACATGACCATGTAGCCGTGCAGGGAGCCCTGCAGCAGATCTAAGTTTCACACACGTGATAACTTGAGCAGACACAATCAAAGAAACTTGAGCATGCACAATCAAAGAATTGCAAGCAGTTTGCAACAGTATCCCTGTATTTCACATGGAATCATGTATTGATACACATTCTCCAATTCTGGATTATATCTGGAGGTGACCATCCTAATGATAAAATAGAACGGCAGCGATATCAAAATTCAGTTCTCTATGTATGTATGCATCATAAGTAATTCAAACCAAAAGGACAACATCAGATACACCTACATGTTGAGAGATCTACGGGTGACAATTTTATATATACTGACAGCGTTCTTTACATCAAAACTGAATGTTCTCTTGTTTGTCTTTTGGGGCAACACACTGCCATAGAGCTCTGTAGGAATCAATTTCTCTCGCATCTATTCCTATCGCACGAAGGTTTCGTGCATACTCCTGCAAAACAATGCAACCAAAAGAACATGTCAGAGGTGCCGTAACTTTATGCTTCCCTATAGCCACATGCCCACATATGTTGCCAAACCAAGCTGGTTGTAAATAAAAGCTTGGGTGCCAAATAAATCCAAGAGGAAAACATTGTTTAATTTAGATGCAAAGTGAACCTAGAAAGAGAATTTCTTATGGCCACAGCACATAGCATCAATATCATTTATGAGCACAAGGGCAGAAGGGGCAGACAACAAACCTGAATATCAAGAAATAGCTGCATACAGATCTTGTCTGTGTCAGATATGATGTTATCTGAGGCATCTGTACTAGCCCCTACTCGCCTTTGTGCACCTTGGCGCAGTCTTTGCAATGAAGACTCGGTTTTCCTTGCCTTCAGAATTGAAATAAATTGACCTAAGTAACTGGTGGGTCAAAAACAAATTTTCGTAAGCAGCTAGGCAATCCTTACTCACCACAGTGACAACTTCAGAGACCAAGTCATAGTAAATTGCAGTAATCTTATCTGTAGACCCTCGACACAACTTAGTTTTATCATCTTCTGATAGATAATGTATACGCTCCCCTTCAAGAAACACCTACACGAACAAACGGAAATCTCAGAATAAAAGACTGTTTAATGAAATAAGCATATCAAATGATTATAACATCACCATAGGCATTGAAATAGAAATATGAAAAATAAAGGACATCACAATCATGCAACATGATGCATTTAACAACAATAAGACTAAAATACTACATTGACCATAGAATAAATTTAAAATGTGCCCCATCACTTGCCTTGGGTTAATGAAAGCCCTGAGGGCCTAAATTGCAACTATACCATTTTTTTAGCAAGCATGCTAATATAGAACATCATGCGCTAGTTCAGCTGCTTTACTTGCATTTAGATGAATATAAATCATAAAACAAGGGTAAAACAGGAAGTTCATTGACCTTCAGTGGATGTAAAATTCCTGATACATATGGAGAATGCCTCACTGGAAGCTTACTTGTCATCCTATACGTCGCTGTTATTCCTTTCAGGTGCTTGAGGTCCTACAATCAATTAAAAAATAGTTGGCCAGTTAAAGAACAGGAGGAATATAGTTTAATTAGAAGAAGAAAAATGCTGACAAGTGCAACATTAGCCTAGGCAATATTTGATGCCTAAGTGTAAGATATGCATCTTTTCCATTTTGTTCGTTATCATATGCATAGAAGGTAAAATTGGCTTCTCACTAGCAAAATAACAAGAGCCCAAAACCCTTTTGTAATCTAGTTTGCAAGGGAGAAGTGATGAACTGCGGATAACTAAAAACATGCAGATAGTACCATCACAAGTTCATGGCATCCTACTCACCTCATTAGACTTCTTAACTATGATTCCAATCATGACATTCATTATTGCAGGCAACACCTCCTTTAAAGGTTCGACAGCTTGCAGTATACTTTGTTTCACAAGGTTGAGTACTTCAATGGGGCATGATCCTAGTAACTGATTCACATGTCCAATAAAGCTGCCTGATTCTGAAAGCTCACCAATTACAGCATGCACATCATGCATTATCTGTAAATCAATGAACAAAGACATTATTAGGATTCAAAAGACAGAAAAGATCCACGAGCTATACTCTTATATGTCCCCATTGCTCAACACTGGATAACATTTTGAGTGTAACAAGAAATATGCCTTAGAAGTCAGAAACAGGAAAAGTGCACAAAGATTAAGTAACACGGACTTGCCTCCACTCATGCAACCAAACAAACAAAAGGTACTTACTAAAGCTTTTACTACCTCAGAGTTACCACAAATTGGGCTACAAAGTACAAACAGCAGTTATTTTTCCACTGAAACACCAGTACATGTCTGTCTAGTCAAAAGGTGGAAGCAGTGACTTCCTGCAGACTTACTGAGCACTTCTGAAGCAACTAGTCATCTTATAACTAACTTCAAAAAAAAAAGGGCGTACCCAGTGCAGAGAGCTCCCGCTCTGTGCGGGGTCTGGGGAAGGGTGTCAGTGGCAACTGGCAAGCCTTACCCTCGCCTGTGCAATGCGAGGAGACCGCGACTCGAACCCGGGACCTTCCGGTCACAGGCGGTAAGACTCTACCGCTTGCACCAGGCCCGCCCTTCTTATAACTAACTTCAAAACTCCAGAAATTTCAAACTAAGCATACACTTCATAGAGGAATATAGAATGTTAATAAATAGGATAATAATACCCAAAATTTCAGTCATAAGTAGCTAGGTCCATAGTACAGGATGAAAACCGCTAGATCCTATTGGGATATGACCTGAGTTCGGACATTATTGCAGATGTGACTTACATATATGAAATCTTCTATAGGTATAGACAGTGCCCATTCAGCATCTGCAGGTGAATTTGGGCTCCCATCAGAAGCTTTACGTGCAGATAAACCAGATGAAAGCCATGTTGTATACCTTATCGTACAGGAACATACACGATATATAAGTGTTTAATAAATCATGGAAACAAAAGGGGAAAAACATCTTTAGCAGTAGTTATACCTTGAAATAAGCTGCAAGGACAACCGAAGGAATTTATCACAGTGAGAGAATAAAAGAACCTCATCACTCCAACATGACTCCAAACTTTCTAAGAGCTTAATACTTTGCTTCAAGAGCAATGGCTTCCCTTGAGCCTCATTTGATCCAGTAGGACTAAAGGTGTTTGTAAGAGTAGAATCAAGGCCACCCGCAATTTCCTGAAATCTTGTATAAACGAGCAGGTAGAAGTCAAGTTTTGATTTCAGGAGAGCACCTCATAACATAATAGATGTACATGTTTGTGCTTACCGCAACGAAAAGTAGACACCAACATTCCATTGTCGCATGAAATCTGTGTAAGTAGGCTCAGAGCGGAACTTCGTTACAGCAGACTTGGAGAGGCAGTAGCCTGCAAAATAAAAGATCCATCATGACTCTAAATACCCATATGAACCTTTGAAATATGTATATATATTGGACTGTGGAGCTTTTGTGAAACACGAGGATGAAAAAAAATACAGTGGAATCAAGTTCTGGTTCAACATTATTGGCAGAAAAAAAATCAAGTTGCAACATAAGAATACCTTCAAGAAAATCAAGAAATCCTAAGCTTGCTTTGTAGTTCCTCAAGAATTCTTTAGGCTTTCCAGGAGAAAAGGCCCCAGGCTTGCCTTTCTGGATTGCAGAAAGGACTTCTTTGAGTATTGAGTTACCCAGAAAATCAAAAACATGCAATCCAGAGTTTTCTGCGCCAAAGAAAAATCAAGGAATCTTAGATAATGCAGAAAGATGAGCCTG